GTTCCGAGGGCCAAAGTATCTTGATTGGCTAGCCTGGGACATGTGTCCGTCCCAGTAGGAGTGGTGGGGTCCGCTCAGCTGGGACCATCCGGAATGAAAAGTGGGATGTGCTTACAGAGAAGGAGAAAGAAATGCAGGCATTCACCGCAGTGTGTCAACAAGAAAGAGCATGAACTGAGTGCCCCACGTTGCCAGCCTTGATCCAGCTTGAAATTGGTCCTGACACAGTCTCAGGGCACCATGCCAACCCCGACAGCGCTGATGCATGCCCTGCCCCGGCTCTTCCCTCTGTGCAGAGTGTGCACCTCCGCTGCCTGGTTTACACCCAGTCAGAGCGCACTTGCCCACTCTCTCCTTCACACTTTGCTCCGCCCACGGGGGTGGGACTGGGGGGAAGATTCACCGGGAGGGGGTGCCTGGCAGAGACTCCTCGGCCCCGGGCGGGGCTGCTTCACTCTGTCCAGCCTCATTCCTTGTCCTGATGAGAAGGTTCTCTTCTCCCGTGTGCCTTCGCCTACACTACCCTTGTCCTTGAATACCCTTCCCGGCATTATCCATAGGCTCACGTTTACCTGTCTTCCGAGGCTCAGGTCTGTCTTGTCCATCTCCTTCAAGATTTCCCTATGCCCCTAAGTTTGTGCCAGACCTTTGTTTGTATCGCTACTGGTTCCAGAGCACAGGATGTGCAGCCGTTTGATGATTATTTGTTTACCTGTGCCTGCCATTGGCTCCTTAAGGGAAGGACCACGGTTGATGTACCTTTAGGCCCCCAGCCAGCACCCAGCACAGGACCTGCCCCCGAGTAAGCAGGTCGTTTTGGATGGGGCAGGAGCTCCGTGCTCATGCTCAGAATGGCACTTGTGGGTGATGCCTGCAGTTTGTCTCTCCTCTCTCTCTGGGCTGCTTCTCCCAGACATATGCCCACCTTTCTCCTCAGACGCCTGCTGTGCCCTGGGATTCATGTAGGTAGTCAGCAGAGGGAGTGGCAGCGAGGCGTTAAACCTGACAAAGCACTCACAGAGTGCTCTCTTTGCTTGGACGCGGACCAAGGTCTTACTGTGCAGGACTATTTATGATGGGGCTGCCATCGCGAGATCCCAGATAAGACCAAGGTAGATTCTAGAAACCCCTGACCCTCTGCTTTGTCCGCCTGCCACTTCCCGGAGCCGGTTCTAGGAAGATGGATCTGTGAGGTGTGGCTTTTACCCCATCGAATGACAGCCTCCCTTTTGGAGGGACCAAGGCCCATGGCTGCACCTGATAGGCTAACTGCTGCGGCCCCGTTCTCAGGACCCACTGCGGGGCTCTGCCTTCCCTTTGTCCCTTGGGCGTCTTGGGCCGCTCACACTCGCTAGGCACAGTGGCCAGAGGGCTAGAGGCTCTGCAGGCTCTGAGCCACCTCCTGGGGGCTGAATAAAACATGGTGGAAACACTAGAGGAAGAGCATGGTGGCTACAGGGCTGGCCACTCAAACCAACAGGCGCAGGGGGAGAGCTGAGTCTGTGTTACTATAACACAGCAAACCCACATCCGGAGGCACCTTTCTCAGTTGGGTTGGTGGGATGAAGACCTTACTGTGAGGCTGCTGGTGCCCACATGCAACTAGTCCCCAACCTCTAATCACACCCAGGGTACAGGCTGATGTCCTGGGCCTCAGGGAATGGTTTAGGTCGGTGAGCTAGAGCTGGCGACAGTACCTTCTACACAACGGCACTAAGTGAGCTAGAAGATTCTCTTGCCCTTTCTGACTGGTCAGAATCTGAAGGTTCTATGGGCAGGTCAGCCTCTCGGGTCCTGGGGTCCCAGCCTGGCTGTGAGGGGCCCGGGGCTAGACCCTCCCACAGCACATGCCTTTCGGAAGCTCCACGTCCCCAAACTGCTATGCTCTAGGATCAAAGGGGGAAAGACAGGCAGGTCCCAGTGCAACTTCCGTCTTCTCCTTCCCCTGTTCCTTCTCACGCACTCACACACGCCCTCCTGAAACCGAATCCTGGGGCTGCCTCCCGCGCTGGTGCTCTCCGCAGGGCTGGCGGGCTGGGGCCTGCCTGCTGGAGCCTGCCCCACCCTGCCCTGTTACCCCCTAGGCCAGGGCAAGCAGGTCAGGCATCCCACACCCCGCTAGTCTGACCAGTCATTCTGCACCTCAGGGGCCACCTCCGCCCTCACCAGGCTCCCAAACTGGCACCCTCGCCTGGACAGAAGCCCCTGGGTCCCGTTCCAGGTGCAGCGTGAGGCTCTGCCCAGGCCACCTGCAGAATTAACACAAACATACACACATACACCACCTCTACCATCCACCCCACCCCATTTCCTGTTGTTTACTGCCAGGCTCAGCTTCCAAGGCTCTGCCGGCTCTGAGCCGCCTCATGGGGGCTGAACAAATCAATCGTAGTGGAAACACTAGAGGGAGAGTGCAAGGCTGTCTGCGGGAGTGAGGCAGGACTGTCCAGAGGAAGTAGCATTTGAATTTAAAGAAGGGATTTTCCAGGGAAAGGTGTATCCTTGTACGTGTGATTTTTGGAGGGTTGATTTGTGACGGATTACCAGCAACTCATGGTTATTTGGCCTAAATGTGAATTAGGAGAAAGTTGTGCCCATTTGCAGAGCAGTGTTCTTACGATATTATAAAGTGAAAAAATTAGTCTACAGAGCCGTTTAAAAAACAATATGGGAAAAGGAAAATCAGTACGGATATATACCAAAAAGTTAATTGTCTCTGTGTTGTAGGATTATGGATATGTTTCATTGATTTTTGTGTGTGCATGCACCTATCTGTATATTTCTCCAAAATTAATGTACAAGTGACATAAAAAAATGAGGGGATTTTAGTTCTGGCTGGTGTGGCTTGGTTGGTTAAGTGTCAGTCATCCTGTGTACCTAAAGGTTTGATTCCAGGTCATGGCACATGCCTTGGTTGCCTGCTTGATCCCCCAGTAGGGGGCGTGCAGGAGGCAGCCAATGGATGTTTCTTTCCTTCTCCCTCTCTCTCTAAAAATCAATTTAAAAGTCTTTTTTTTTTAATATATATTTTATTGATTTTTTACAGAGAGGAAGGGAGAGGGACAGAGATCTAGAAACATCGATGAGAGAGAACCATCAATCAGCTACCTCCTGCCCGCAACCAAGGTACATGCCCTTGACCGGAATCGAACCTGGGATCCTTCAGTCCTCAGGCAGACGCTCTATCCACTGAGCCAAACCGGTTTCGGCAAAAATATTTTTTTAAGGTGTTATTTTTTTAAGTGAAAATTAACATGATGAACTTTCTTATCAGCTGAAAAAGAGGGAAGGGAGAGGAAAAGGAAAAAATTTGGCTAGATCTTAGGAGATTTCATGAGCACATGACATCCAGTACCTATTGGAAGCAGATAAAATCCTGCCCAAGCCTGACTGAGAAACTTGGTAAAACTTCTGTCAGCTCAGCTCCAACCCAGGAGGAGAGGTTCTTGCTGGAGGCTTTTCTAGGGACCTTGCTTCCTTTGCTCTTACACATGGACCGTGGCCAGCATCCTCAGTGCCTCTGGTGTAGCACCGGATCTCTCCATTCATTCAGGTTTGATGTGCTAGGCCGGGAACCACGCGTGACCTTTGACACGGAAGGGAAGTGTGCTAACTCCGAAGTGCAAAGGGGAGCTGCGGTGCGGGGTGGGCAATGGGGAAGGAGCAGGAGTGGAAGTTTTCTGCCTTCTTTCAAGTTCACCTCAAAAAATCTCTTAACATCGGACGTCCACATGATTACTGAGGTAATTTCTCCTGGGCGTGGAGACGATACTGGTGTTAGTGATGGGGGAGGAGGGGGGAGTAGGAAACTTGAGTTGGAGAACATTGGAGGCTAAGTTGTAGCTTCTGAGCTTACAGGGCCTCTGCTCCATCTTCAGTCTTCCAGTGGCTGATTCAGTTGGTCTGGAAACAAAGAGACAGAGCCACCAAGGCCTAGGCCTCCACACATTCATTCTTGGCCAGCGAGGCCCTCAGCCTGCCCCACAGCAGGACTCGGACGCCTTCCACGCTGCTGGGTGCCCCGAAAAAGGTCTCGTAGGCAGGGCGCTGGGTTCCACGTGAAGTCGCCGTCCACGCATCTCTGAAGAGCTTGTTCCTCCTGTGCCTTTGCCCTCTTCCCTCACTCCCTTCCGCATCCCATGACTGTCCTGTCCTCCCCAGGCCTGCACCCTGCCCTGCCCACTCCCCGCTTTCCCAGGAAAAGTGAGATTTGCCTTTTCCCTTCCCCTCCACTCAACATCACGTCACCCTTCCTCCTCCTCTCTCTTTTCCCTCCCACTTTCCTCCAGGCCAAATCACCCCTCTCCTTAAGCTCATAACAGCCCCGCACCTCCCAAGGAGCTGTGCGTTCCTGCTGTCCTCCCCTCTGCCAGCAAATGTGCTCAGGCTCCTGCTTGTCTGCAGCCTCCCCTCGGCCCTGCCTCACGGCCTCCAGATTCAGCAGTCTTTCTCTTCTCTTCCAAATCTCTGTCTCCTGTGGCTCTTCACCAGCTTTGTCCTCTCCTCACGCACCCCCCTTCCTCCTCACCCCGGTGGCCCACCTCTCAGGATCCTCTCCGGGGTTCTGTCTCCCGGCACTGGCTGTTCTGGGTTATTTTCCTGCCCCATGGGACCGTGCCTCGTCTCTGTGTCCCCATATGGCAGGCACAGTGTGGGCAGCAGTGACTATCTGATGGGTGGCATGCCTCGATAGCTTGCCAGGGAGCTTCCAGCTCAGCAATACTGGGCCCTGGTGCGGGGTCTGGGCCCTCCACGCCTGTAGCTGGCCTCCTAGGACTGGCCGGACCCGCTCCTTTAGACTCAGGCCCTGCGGAACACAATCTGTCAGACCCACATAGCAGCGACCCAGTGAGCAGGCGGGGATCGGAGACCGGAAGGGTGTGCTGAGGTGTGAACGGTGGCTTCCAGCAGAGCCCTCGGCAAGACACGTGTACAGAAGAGCCAGCCAGCACTCCAGCCTGTTGCGTTGGGGAGTCCTCAGCAGCCCTGTTGTATTCCAGGTTCTCCAAGCCAGCACCCATGTTCCTGGATGACTCTTTCCGCAAGTGGGCTAGGATCCGAGAATTTGTGCCGCCTTTTGGGATCAAAGGCCAAGGTACGTTGAGAACCCTGACCCCACTCTACATTAACATCTCATCTTCCAGACTATCTCCCTACATCTCAGGCAGGGCTGGAGCCTCAGAAGTGCCCATGCTGGGGGCCCAGCCTCTCCCCTGCTCTCAACAATGCCTTACATTCTCTTCCTCCTTCCGTTCCTGCCTTTTTTCTTATTTCTCTAATGGAATATTTACTCAGAGCCCAGCACTTTGTCAGGGCTAGGTATACAACGCTGGAGTCGGCGGATGTGGTCCCTGTCTACAGAAAGCTTCAGGCTAGTGGAGATAAGACACTCAGTAGGGGTCTGATGAGGGAAGAACATGGTGCGTGAACAGGTGGTGCCAGAGATACTGGTGGTAGGGAACTAGATATAAGATGGAAAACCCCAGAGAAAATAGAAGCCATCCCCCACGAATGCCCCCAGGCTCCTCCATCATGCCCTCCTGGTGTTTTCACCTAGTCCCCTGTCCAGCCCTTTCCTGTCCTGTCCAAAGCCAGAATTTCCCCCTATATCCTCAGAACTATCTGCCGCCATTGCCTGAGGGTCCGCACGCATGTGGTCCTCTCCTGACTTAGACTTTCCCATCCTCATAGCTTAACAGTTGCATTTCTTTGTCAGGTTCCTGCTCCGTTTCCTGGCATGCTGGAGTGTGAGCTTTAGGGTCAGATACAGAAGGATCAGGTCCCACTGCTGCCTTTTTACTAGCTATGACCTTGAACAAGTTACTTCACCCGCCTGTGCTTTAGTTTCTCCCTCAGTTAAATGGAGAGAATCATACCATTGTATTAGGATGTGGTCAGAATTAAATAAGATAACTGTTAAATGGGAGTTATCCTGTGGCCAGGGACCCAAGAATACCTCAGCCCTCTACTGAGCCAGCCCAGCCCTTCCTGGGCAAGTCCCCGGCCTGACTTCAGAGCCTCCCAAAGCCAGAGGAGCCTGCCAGGGAAGGGCCGGGGAAGCACCCGCATGCCGGTGCTGGGGACTGGCTCCAGGCGGAGCTGAGGGTGTCTGCCTGTTCTCCTGCGCCCTCTCCTTTTCTCAGGGAGAAAGGAAAGCCAGCAGCCCGGCCCACCGGTGCCCAGATCTCCCTCTCCCCACCTCCACCTCCACCTCCACCCGACCCCCGGAAAACATCTCATGGGAACTTAAGTGGTCCTCTCACATTAAGTGGTCCCTCTTCTCTCCACAGATAATCTCATCAAAGCCATCTTGTCAGTCACCAAAGAGTACCGCCTGACCCCTGCCTTGGACAGGTGAGCTTCTCCCTGCCCGGCCTCCTGCCCCTCAGCTGCCTTGTGCAGAGATGTTGAGGTCCAGCTGGCCTTTCCTGGACGTGAGCAGATTCTCCAGCGTATCCTTATGTGCACACACAGTACACGTGCTGGGATGGGTAGCAGAGAAGTGGGGCCATCTAGCTGGCTTGCACCCGTGGGCTGAGGGTAAAAACTGAAGACACTGGGCTGGGATGTGCCCACCATTGGGACTGCGGAGCTGGGCGGTGGGCACAGCTAAAAGGACCAAGGCTTACACCCAGGGTGTAATACCTCCGAAGCTATCGGAACCCGGATAGAAGGACCCCCAGGGTCAGGGGCTGGAGAGCAAAGTGAGTAAGGTTCCCGCGTGGCTTTATGGGAGCATGGGGGCTCCTGGATTGAATATAAGCTCGGCCCTAAGTCCCGGGGCCTCCAGTCAGTCCGTTTCTCTGTTCTTGCTTTTCTGGGATAGCCCTCAAGCTCAGCCCTCGTCCCTCTCCCGAAAGCTGCCTAACCCCCATGGCTCTTGGGAAACCTTTAACCCAGAGTGCCATCTTACCGGAGCCTCCTTTCTCGCCTACACGGAGCTGGTGTCCAAGCCCTTTCCACACCCGTGTTTTCCTGGACAAGTGTCAGGGACTAGGGATGGCTGAGCGTTCCAGGCGGCCCAGCTCCCCGCAGTTTGTTTCTGGCGGCTTCTCAGAAACACTGCCAGAAGCTCATTCGTTTTCTTCCCTCCCAGCCCGTGCCCGGTCAAGGGCCTGGGGTCAAGGGCCAAAAGGGCCGGGGAGAAGGATACCTGGTGGACAGCTCTCCAGAGGTCTCTGCCTTTCTCCCTCAGCCTCAGCTGCCGCCGCTGCATCATCGTAGGCAACGGAGGTGTCCTTGCCAACAAGTCTCTGGGGTCACGAATTGATGACTATGACATTGTGGTCAGGTAAACAACCCCAACGCGGCCCCTCGGGCCCCTGCATGTCCTGGCCCAAACCCCGGCGCCTGCGCCCGTTGAGAATTGTCTGGCCGTCTGGCTGGTGGGCTGGAGGTCAGCAGAAGCCTGAAGAAGAACCTGGGTTGGAGGATTTTGGGATCAGAGAGCTAGATGGCTCCCCATTCTCTGTTCCCGGGGGTATTCTGGGGTCCGAGTGCTTCCCCAAACATAGGCCGCAGCCCACACGCAGGGAGCCCCGGCTCTGACCGGGGCTGCTCTCTGTAGACTGAACTCGGCACCGGTGAAGGGCTTCGAGAAGGACGTGGGCAGCAAGACTACCCTGCGCATCACCTACCCCGAGGGCGCCATGCAGCGGCCTGAGCAGTACGAACGCGATTCTCTCTTTGTGCTCGCCGGCTTCAAGTGGCAGGACTTCAAGTGGTTGAAGTACATCGTCTACAAGGAGAGAGTGGTGAGCTCCCTGTGCACCGGCTCCTTCCCTTCTCTCCCCGCCCTGGCCTTGCCCAGCTTCCGGCTCCGTCCCTTCCTCTGAACCCAGCAAAGAGCCAAGAGGAACCTTTCAAAAGAAGCATTAAGCATTAACCCCAAAGTTGAAAGACACTCAGACTCAACCGAGGGTAGCCGTCCCAGGCTTCTGGAGTTGATAGGCTTGGCATCTGCTCCCTGCCTCCAGGTACCCAGGCGATAGGGCCTTTCTCAGCCTTCTCTGCCACACCCCCAACCCAGCTCCTAAGTCCCTCCCCTGCAGCCCCTGCAGGCCTTCTCTGCTTTAGGTCCTCTGGTAAGGAAAACCATTATGTGGCTGGCTTTAGCGTTACTCCTCATCTTCGTATTCTCCTGCCCTGACCTTGTAGCTGCCTCCCCCAGTCCCTCTTACTCGCTGTGAGGTCTCTCTGACTCTGATCGAATGGCTCCACCCTCACTCCCAGCCAAAGGAGGGAGGCCTGTTTGGGCGCTGGGGCTATTCTGCGGGGACAGCAGAGCCCTCACCTTGAGAGTGCTCATCCCCAAACTCACGCATAATGGTCCCTCTAGCCTTGTGCTTTTACCACTGACCTGCAGTTCAGTCCCCAGCTTGCCGTTGAGTCTGGTTCCACTCTGGGAAGAATCAGATTCTACAGTCATGTTCCAGGCAGGCCAAGGTCAGGGTCTGTTTCTTCAGGGAGCGTATGTGGCCAAGCAGGCTCAGGCTGCTCTTTAGTGGACCACACACCGAGCCCCTCCTGAGTCCTCTATATCTCAGCTCTGGGCCTTTAGGGACGCCTGCCAACTTGTGCAGGCCCATTCCCCCTCTCCCCTCAGCCGGCTGTCACCAGCCCCCCCACCCAGGGGAGGGGCACTGCAGAACTCAGGCCATCCATCTCCCGATACCCATGCCTCCCACCAGAATGGTGACAGATGGCCTCTCCCTTCGTAAGAAGCTAGTCCTTTCTGGACGTTTAGAGGAGAATTGGGGGGGGGGGGGGCGGGAACAGGTTACCCTGCCTATGGAGGTCTCAGTGCAATTTGATTTAACTCCACAGCCCTTTTCCAGGCAAGGCCAAGTACAGGCAGTGTCAAGTAGGTAGCAAGCGAGAGAGAAGACAGAAGTCAGGTCCAGAAATTCAGGTAGGTGGGACAGTGGGGAAGGGGGACAGCCAGGCTCTGCTGGTCCAGCTTGGCTCCCAAAGGGGAGGAAAGGGTTTGGCTTCAGCCAGCCCCAGCTGCAAGCAGGTCCACCCACTGCCACGCAAACCAGGGAGAGAGGGGGCTGAGCAAGCACTGCTCTGGTCTTAGGACCCTCATGAGCTCAGAGCCCTTCTCTCTGTCCTGAAGGCAGTAGCATTGGAATCACAGGTAGGTACTCTTAGGGAGAAACGGGAGCAAATTGGGTCTGCTGTGGTGAACCCTAGGGAGCCTGGAGGCTGCTTTCTCACTCTGGCCACCCCCCTCCTGGCACATCCTTTCCTCTCCCCTTAGTCACCTGTCAGAGGAGCTCCCAGAGGGCAGGACCCTGGTCCCATTTGATTTTTTTGCCCTCAGTGCCCAGCCACCGTAAATGAGCCGGAATTGGCTCAGATACCAGGTCTTGCCTCCTGCTGGGATAGGACAGGCCGCATGGTGGGCCAGGGCCAGCCAGGTGGGTGTTTATCATATGCTCCTTCCAAGAACATCGAGACCAGGGTTCTTAGAATTCAGCCGAGAGAGTAAGGAAAGAAAGAAGAAAAGGAAGGAAGGTCAAAACCGGTTTGGCTCAATGGATAGAGCGTCGGCTTGGGGACTGAAGGGTCCCGGGTTCGATTCCGGTCAAGGTCATGTGCCTTGGTTGCGGGCATATCCCCGGTGGAGGGTGTGCAAGAGGCAGCTGATCGATGACTCTCTCTCATCGATGTTTCTAACTATCTCTCTCCCTTCCTCTCTGTACAAGATCAATAAAATATATTTTAAAAAAAAAAGAAAAGAAAAGAAAAGGAAGGAAGCCAGCTAGAGTCAGAAAACTGACGGTACTCAGGGAGCAGGCGGCAGGGCCTCGCTCTTCCCAGGAAGACTCTGAGGAGTTCACACCTGGCCTGGCCTTGGCGGCAGGATGATCAGAGGTACTGGAGCAGTTGGGATGGAGGCGTGTGAGCTGTGCGCAGGCACACGCTCACCCGTGCTCATGCCTGTGCCCTGTCCTCTCCAGGCCATGCCCAGGGATCTGGGACCAGGCTTGTGTCAGTGGGAACTCCTTTGCAGGGTTGGTGGAAGAGTGGGGAGGAGAGAGAAGAGGCAGGAGGGCCCCTCTGACGTTCCATGAGTCTTCCCGGGCTCTCATGTCAAAGATAATGAGGGTCTTGAGATGAGCTGCCAGAGGGAAGCCAGTGATCAATCCCAGCGCCAGAGCGGACCTGCTGGGGCCCTTCTGGCTACCCAGGAAGCCTCCCCTTTCCCACCCCCCGTCCAGGGCTGATGCCTTCTGAGGACCTCTCTGGCCTTCGTCACTTCTCTGGGCTCCAAGCCCCGTGTAAGCCTGGGAGAGGCTGCTTCCCCGGCCCCTCCCATCTGGTGCCCAGCCACAGGCTTGTCCTGCTCCTGCAGCCACCGGAGAGCTCTCTACACCTGTCTGGAGCCTCACCTGCAGAATCCTGGCAGGAGGCAGCTCTGCGTTCAGGAGCCAAGGCCAGGCTGGGCAGGGCCAGAACAGGTATTAGGTCTCCGTCATGGCTGCTACCTGCCGCTTGCTATGTGAGCAGTTGCTCGTTGTATGTAACTCTCTGGTACCCAGGAGTCCTGAAGACTAAACCCAAAAAAACAGCCTGTGTTTGGACTGGCCATACTCACTCCATCCATACTCATCTCTTACTTCACCTCCGCTCATCACTGTATGTGGTCCTTTGGTTCCCTGTTCACTGAACAGTAGCACCGAAAACTCCAAATAAGTTACCCAGGGCCTTTTCCCTCCCAGATCCCCCAGGAGCCCTGAGCAAGCCGGCAAGCAGGTGGGGGAGTTCCCAGCAGGTCACGTGTGCTCGGAGCACCCGTGGATTTTGAGGGGGGAAAGCTGAGGTTGGCAGGGAGGGTGGAGCCTGGGGCATATGTAGGTATAGGAAGATGTAGGCATATGTAAGTCCATGGTGAGAGGGGGCAGCCTCCAGCTCTAGTGAAATTCTCAGAAGTACAACCTGGCTCCATCTTGCACACAACTCACTGGTTGGCCAGGTATCGCTGAGCTGCTCCCTAGGAAGACAAAGATGGATTAAACACGGTCTTTGACCCATTGTCACAGTCTGATGAGAGAGACAGACCTGAAACTAGAGAGATGATGCAGTGTGGTGGGTGCTGTGGCCTTCGCATCCTCCTCCTGATGTTTGATGAAGGCTAGAGACCCCTCCCCATTTACGTCCTGAGGCCTGGAGGGGACAGGACACGTGAAAGGCAGAGCTGGCCATGCAATCACTCAGGCTGCACCGACCTCTGCCAGCCTCCCCCACCTCACCCCCTTCCCAGAAAGCCTAAATTTCAGAGGCCCCCCAGGAGCTACCTTCCCAATCCCCTTGGCTGCCTCCTCTTCCTGCATTTCCTTCCTCATCCTCACTCCTGAAACTGGGAAACTGACCTCACTGGTGAGGAGCCTCTGCCTGGTTACCAGTTCAGTGTAGTATAGAGACCTGGTTAAGTGGTTCCAGCCCAGCAAGGAGAGGAGAGGGGTTAAGGGTTGGGGGTTGGCCTCTGGGTAGTCTTGACTCAGGCCTGGCCTTCCAGCTGTACTTCAGTCCTTGGGTAAGGAGGGAGGAACTTCAGAAGCTGGCCAGGACCCCACATTCATACAAAGGGGTACTGAGTCCCTGAATTCGGGAGAGACAAAATGGTTTAGGAGGGGAAGGCATTTTGGAGTTATGTAGACTTAGCTTGAAATTTGGACATTGTCACTTCCCTTAGGCAAATGACTTAGGCCCCTTAGATTTAGTCCCATCTGTGAAATATGAATGGTACTGCCTGTTGTTCAGAGTTTTAAAAATTAAACCAGGTGAAATATAGAAGTACCTAGCACAGCCCTGCTGGCGTGGTTCTGTGGTTGAGTGTCGACCTATGAACCAGGAAGTCACAGTTCGGTCCTAGTCAGGGCACATGCCCAGGCTGCAGGCGCGATCCCCAGGGTGGGGTAGTATGTGGAAGGCAGCCAATGAATGATTCTCTCGCATCATTGATGTTTCTGTCTCTCCCTCTCCCATCCTCTCTGAAATGAATAAGCATATTTTTTTTAAAGTACCTAGCACAGTGCTTGACACAGTAAGTGCTATCTATGCCAAGTAGTAATGCTATTGGTTATTTTATAATTATTGGTGGTGTCACTGTTAGAACCGTCTTATTGCACTAGGGAGTCAAGCATTTGTCTATCTAGGCTGTAGAGCCTGACCTGGGAAGTGACCTAAAAGTAGAGGTCAGAGGCCAGGCCTAGAGGAGGGAGAAACTCAGGACCTTCTGAGAAAGGCAGGGGGTGGGGGAATCTGCGGAGCACAGAGGGCCCCCAGGTCCCCGTAATAGGAGGCCTTATTGGCCAGGCGCAGGATGGGGACTGAATGTCCATCTTTACCTAAATGTATATTCTGGCCCATGCCTGAGGGATGCAGAGCTTTGGGATGGGCTCTGCCCAGGAGCTCAGCATTCACACTGTCTCACCTTAGGGGAGACTCGATGCAGGGCACGTAAAAAGGGTGATGAGGCGGGGACACACCACAGCCTCTCCTGCTTGAAGAGGGTTTTGCTGGGGAACCAGCATCCACGGACTCCACCCACCACAGTCTCCTTTCCAAACCTCTGAGACAGGCTCTCTTGAGATTCCATTTCCTTCACAGCCACCTCCAGTGGATACTGCTCTTTACACATACCTCTTATCCCCATCTTTATTCCCCTTACCACACCCTGACCATTGCTCCTTAGATAAAAAATGCTCAGAAATTGGGGCTCATGTCAGCACTACCCGGTGCTCCT